AGTTCAATTTCCATCTGCACATGATATGGATATCATATGTGAGTGACATATCAAATATCTCATGTATCTATTTATGTGTTTGCTTGTTGGTTTGTTTGTTTGTTGTTTCTTTGTTGTTTCATTATATACAGAAAATGGTGTACACACTATGCATTACAATTTTCACGTTCTACACTCAACATTGTACTAGACTTTGTTGTGTTACATCATTTGCATCCTATCATGACATTATGGCATATCATAGTATCATGCATTCATTACATTTTGTCACGTGCAATAGATCATATTAGTTATATCGGATCGCACTGTGCTATACAATACAGTACAAGTATATCATAGTATATTTTGACCTATTTAGATATATTTAGATATAGATGTATGGCATGTCTCTTATCCTTCCGTCGTGTTCAGGCCGTCTGGATCAGAGATCTGCTTGGAGATTTGGCTCGCCCATGTCGTGAATCTCCATACAATACGTATCTCCGTATGTCTTCAAATTGCTGATACAGTAATGCAGAGGATCAAGATTGCCACGGTGCAGGCTCAATATTCAAGATGCAGAGAAAAGAAGGAGGACACGGACACAAACAATGGATCCAGCTTGAAAACAGAAAATCTTAAATGATTCCAAGGCCTTTCCATAGAAGCCTTCATTGCATCTGCATTTGCCAGACCTAAAAGACAGAGGAGTTGGTGCAGTATGTGCACTTCTAGTGAATCAACTGTGGATCAACTATGGATCAACTGTGGATCAACGAGCGATCAAGTTGCACAAGCAGCTGGTCTGGTGATGTCCGGTGTGACAACATGTGAAGTGATTGTGGCTCAACTCAAAATGCAACAATGCTATGGCTTCTGACTCACAAATGCCATTTCCAGAGCATTGACCCGCGCAAGAAGTTGCAGCCTTGTCACAGGCAATAGTTGCCCGTGGAGAAGGAAGCGCTGGCAAACCGCTGGCTAAGCTAATCCAAACATCTGCAAACTGCACTGCAAAGCTCTCCAGACTCAAAGACTCAAGGAGACTCAAGCGCCTCTGCCAACTCCACCAGCGCTGGTTGCTCGCTGGTTTGCTCATAGTCCTCTGCAACTCAAAGTAACTGTAGTAACTCTGCACGCTTCAACGACATCCAAAGATCATCAGAGATCAATTTTCTTCTTACCGGGTTTGATGCTCAGAAATGAAAGTGGACTGGTTTGCACAATGAATACTTCAATCTGTACGTACAATTACAATCAATTACATACATGTACAGTATATTCTGTGTTATATCATCTCGACATTTATTTCATAATATTTCATATGTGTCTTTCAAGATCAGGTCCTGGCAGGACAAGCCGGCCCAACCATCATGGCACTTGCAAGTTCCGTCGTGACAATCTCCGCGACTGTTGCAGTTCAATGGACAAGCCTATCAAAATCATCAAAGAATTCGAAAAATTGAAGCAGCGGTGTTAGTGTTTTGCTTAGTGTGTATGGTACGATTTCTGGCAGCCTTCCACAGTGTCCCTGTGATTTATTTGTCTTCCAAGGTGGGAAATCTGAATGCAAAACGACGGAAAAATGGTGACGATCTGTGCCTTCGCTTTCTGTTGCTTCAGAGGGCTCTGCTGCTTAGCAAGCTCCTCACTTTCTGCAGCGAGTCCTTCACGAACAGAATCAGCTGATGACAAAAACGCATTTTGAAAAGTCGATTCATGACTTGAATTTGTATTCCAGCATTCTGAAACCACTGCCTTGTCCGTTTATCATTTCTCTTGTCTAGTCTCACTGCATGTTTAACTTCTTACACATGCATCTATCTGGAAGCCATATGAGTATCAGTATGATCTTGATACCTCGTCGCAGAAAAGCTGCAAGGGAACTCTGCGTTTGCAGCAGCTGGGAGCAATCCTGGAATCCAACTCAATCATGTCTTCAAAGCTTGCATTGGTTCAGCTATGTTCGGTAATTCTATTTGACAAGGCATCAGCGATGGCGATGCAAATTGATCCACCATTTGTCCTCCCCGCCGTAGCTTGCAGAGCACTTGCAACGCCCTTGCAGCACTTGCGTTTTCCAACTGAAAATGTCAACATCTGAAAGCCCTGAAAGACGGCCCAGCCATGCCCAACCTGTAAGGCATTGCCCGTTGCCACTACAGTCGTTGAGACACCGTATGTGCTCACCTCGGCAAAACGGCAAAGTGCGTTGCATCGACTATACAGCGTTGGCGTCTACACAGAACCTCACTGTGTTGAATCTGTAATATTCTGTAATAATCTGTAATTATTAGGCATCGTCTAGGGTAATACTGGCGTATCGTATTCCATGCGCGTACGCTCCTTGCAGCCATGCATGCAAATATCTATGCATGTCTATTGGTAGATTCACAACAAAATGCAGCTGACAAAACAGAGAGGAATCAATTGGATTCAATTGGTAGCTCAACTCCTTCCGACGTGGTTCTGAATCGATCTGTGTCCAAGTCGCAGCTTTCGCCATAGAAACCGTTGTTGCAAAGGCACTTTCCTGCTAGGCACATGCCCTGATTGCTACAGTCTCCGCGGCAAGGATGCACGCTTGCCTGCCGACACTTGGCGGTTGATCTTTGCGGCTCTGGGGTTGTTAGACTCGTTCGATGTTGTTCGGGTCTGTTGATGTTAGAAATGGAAGAAACCCAGCTGAACTGAGGCTGCAACAGCTGGTGGTGCCTACACGAAAAGAATAAGTAAGCAAGGAAGTGCTGGTTGGAGAGATGGTTGGAGCATGTTGGAGCACACTTGAGCTCATTTCACGTGCAGGAAAGAACAAGTGGCTTTCAATCTTAGCTGTGAACAAACTTGCACTGCAACTTGCCTGCATTCCAGCAAACTTGGAGCCTGGGATCTCATCCTGGTTTCCACAGTCGGAACAAGTGGGTGAGACATCTCCGGGATGCAGCAAGGACAAATAATTCCCTCAATTGGTGAGGAAGGGGGCTGCGATACATCAGAAGACGACAACAACAACAACAACAACAACAACAAAACAACAACAACAACAGCAACCACAACCAACAACCAACAACCAACAACAAAACAACAACAACAACAACAGCAACAACAACAACAACAAAAACAACAAAAACAACAAAAACAACCAACAACCAACAACCAACAACCAACAACCAACAACCAAACAACAACAAACAAACAAAAACGACAACCAACAACAACCAACAACAACCAACAACAACCAACAACAACAACAACAACAGCAACAGCAACAGCAACAGCAACAACAAGGACAACAACGACAACAACAACAACAACAGCAGCAGCAGCAACAACAGCAACAGCAACAGCAACAGCAACAACAGCAGCAGCAGCAACAGCAACAGCAACAGCAACAACCAACCACAACAACAACAGTAACAACAACAACAACAAGAACAAGAACAAGAACAACAACAACAACAACACAAACAACAACACCGACGACAACGACAACGACAACAACAACAACAAAAACAACAAAAACAACAAAAACAACAAAAACAACCAACAACCAACAACCAAACAACAACAAACAAACAAAAACGACAACCAACAACAACCAACAACAACCAACAACAACCAACAACAACCAACAACAACCAACAACAACAACAACAACAACAATAGCAACAGCAACAGCAACAGCAACAGCAACAGCACCAGCACCAGCAGCAGCAGCAGCAACAGCAGCAACAGCAGCAGCAGCAACAGCAACAACAGCAACAGCAACAGCAACAGCAACAGCAACAGCAACCACCACCACCACAACCACATCCACAACCACAACCACAACCACCACAACCACAACCACCACCACCACAACCACCACCACCACCACCAACAACAACAGCAACAACAACAACAACAGCAGCAACAGTAACAACAACAACAACAACAGCAACAGCAACAGCAACAACAACAACAACAGCAACAGCAACAGCAACAGCAACAAAACCAACACGAACAAGAGCACCACCACCACCACCAGCAGCAGCAACAACAACAACAACAGCAGCAACAACAACAGCAACAACATACAGCAGCAACAAAAGCAACAACAACAACAACAACAGCAACAAGCAACAAGCAACAACAACAACAACAACAGCAACAATGGGTGATGCCTCACAAGCAGGGAATGTGCAACGTCGCCAAGCCTTCCGGCTTCGAGCCGTTGAAACGGCTCTCTCAACTCGCTCGATGGCGTCTCGAGAAGTCTCTGATCTTGCTGCAGCAAACAACCTCACACGCGACACGACTCACATAAATGCCAAGAAGCTTGGAGCAAAGCCATCAATCAGTTTGTGGCATATTTGTGGCATTAGTCAAGACATTTCTGAGAGCAAGACATTTTAAATACGTTTACATAAATTGTATTAAATTGTGTTTAAGCCTTTGCCACAAGCGCAGTAGGACCCGGACTTGTCTGCAGTTGCCCATGCACTTTCTGCAGCTCTCCGAGATTGAGCAAAGGCTAAGGCAGATCTCTTGGGCATTGAAGGCATTGATGCAGGAACTGATGCAGGACTCTCGTCAAATAATGCTGCAGTGTCCAAAGTTTCCTCTTTTGAGTCAGTCATGGGAAGTTCGGAATCCAGTGAAAGTTGGAAGCTGCAATCTCTCCCTGCCCAGTTCCCATCACAAATGCAGCTACCCAAAAGTCCGCACGAACCGTGTCCAGAGCAACCATTGTGGCAAATGGCTGCCTGCGCTGGCAAAGCCAGGACCAACCATCCGAGAAGCATTCCAATATGGTTACAGGCTCCTCAGGCTCCAGTCAGACCCTGCGTGTGAGCCTCCAGCAGAGTCAATGTCTAGTATGTCCCACGGCACCAGGCCGCCAGGAATCAGTTCACTAACAGAAGCCAATGAGCCGCTAAGGGCTGCGGCAAGCGTGTATCGGAACCACCGGAAGCTGCAAAGTGTCTTTTCGTTTCCTGATGTTTCATGATGTTTCCTCGCATTTCTGATGCTTAAGTTTCTCAGTTGTCGTTTCCATCTCTGCTTGCCTGCTGAAGTTCTTGGGGACACTTGGGCAAACCACGCCGGAGCTCGAACACCTAGCACTCATCTGCACTCATGCCTTATTGCTCAAATCAAATCATCTATGAACCATTATGAACCTATATATATAATTAAGCTTGGATAAGTATGAACTTTGAAGAACATCAATATACTTCGATGCGACAATTTTGCCGGGCAACAAAGCGTAAGGATGCAAGGCACCTCATACGTGCCAGGATAAGGGGTCAAGTAACCTCCAGGGATGGGGAAGAACTTGAAGGTCTCCTGGCTGAGAAATCACAAGTTTTGAGGGAATGCGATTGATGGAGTCCATCGTCTGTATACACAGTCCACTTGTCCATGGACTATATAAATATAAACATGATATAATGATAATTATAACTTATATCCCTATATGCAATAGAATGCAATACATACGTAGATTCAGAAACAAGTTGATATGGATTGCATATGCTTGTGTCATACATATATTAGAATATCAAATGAAACTAATTTACATTATTTTACATTACTGGAAATAGAAAGACTTTAAATTTCAATGCGATCCCAACGCACAGGCTGGTGGTTCCTTGTATTTGGAAGGACATTGAAAGAACTCGCGCGACTGCGCATACAGCTTTCTCAGGTCAGGCAAATCCTCGCAAATCACAGCAATTGGCAAATATGTTTACGCAGAGCGTTGACACGAGGGCACAGCAACTTTATTTCCACAGTAACTCGAACACACTCCGCGACCTCATTTCGCAGCTGCAGGATGGCATATCTGCCAAAGTCCACTGAAGAGGACAACAACATCCCATTGAAGAAACGCTGCTGCTGCTGCTGCTGCTCCCAACAAATATGGCAACAACAACAAACACACATAAGTATATAATCAAAAGATATCAAAAGTATACGTAAGTCACATGGTCAACGGTCTCATGCCAGGGATACCCTTTTGCTTTGAGCGCTGGCAAAACCTTGACTTCCAGGCACAGTCGTTCAATGCTGACCGGTTGGAGGCTCCAAGACAAATGCTGGAAATATCTGGAAGTTCCTACTGAATAAGACTCTGGCCCATGCAAGGTTGTCAAACGTTCCTCTGATTTGTACACTTTGCGTGGTGCACGAGATCTGCCTTGCACAAACTTTTAGGAGCAACAGAAAGCTGCGGCAACAAATTCATGGAAGGGGGACCTGAAGGGCGAAAATCTGGACCATGTGGTTCGACTCCTTTTCCTGGACAAAATATCGAAGCCACAAGGGCGAGTAGGATAGAGAGTAGCAGTGATCAACGATCATCAATGATCGATATTCATTTAACACTAGTTTCTCATGAAGCAATCGCAAAATGCTGCATCCCGTCCATCCAGTTCGACGACCGCACTGAATTGTTGCTTCCCGTGGTTTACCTTTGCCACTCGAATGAAATGAATTTCTGCATCCTCTAGAGGAAATGTCAGAAGCTCTAAGCTGGAATATGCTGGAATAGTACAGTAAAAGAGTGCATTGAAAGCATGCAAGGCGTTGGAAAATCCGCTCTGAGTCCCAGACTTGCCCCTTTCAAAGCACACATTGCATCGCAACAACGGACGTTTGTGAAAAGGGACAGGACGACCCTCCTAGTTCCAGCTTGTGAACATGACCATCATCAGTGTTGGTCCTCATTTGTTGGAAGAGCTCAAACATGCACATAGAACTTCCTCTCCAAAACTGAAAGAATTCAGCTGCTTTCATAGCTTGTTTCATGCGCTGGGGAAAAATGTGCCTTCACTTGAGCCTGACAGCTGATTGAATTCGCTCGATCTTGATCTTGATCGATCAGTTTTGCTAGCAAAGCAGCCTCGAGCGGATCAACCTGTACCAGGTAGGATCAGCTAGGCCTCCCCCTTTCGCTGCTCTTGCTTGTCTGACCTTCACCTGGCAAACGCTCCTGTGGTGGCAGTGTGGTTTGATGCCCGAACATGCTGACACAAGGCTTGGCATGCTTGCATGCAAAACAGGCCGAGATGAACTGGCAGAGAGGAGATGGATACAATATGAATCAATGTGAATCTCAATTAATTATAAATTATAATCAGATATATTAGATACAAATAGATACAATATGAATCAATATGATATAATCAGCTTCTAGCTTTGAACTGCTGGGCAGCATTGCAGATGACAACACATCCGACAAGATGCCTCCACAACTTTCCCATGGATCTGGATTGATTTCTCCATGACCTTGACCAGTCCCAAAATGTCTCAAGCACGCACAGCAGGAAACATCGCAAACAGCGATTATAGCGCCGTGCACATCCGTACTAGGCTACATAAATATGAAACCTATGAAACTAGCAAAACCAGAAGTGTGGCGTAGCGTGGCTCTCTTGGCTTTGAACAAGGCCATGATCTACAGATATCTAGAAACTTCTACGAGTACAAATATCTGCAGTACTACGTCAGTACTACGTTAGTTTTCCGTTTCATTGCATGAGCTCATCTTGGAGGTCGGCAGCTTCTCGAACTCCGGCATCTCTAAATTCCACAAAGCCGAAGCCCTGCGGACTGCGCACTCGACACTCTGCGCCAAAGTGGTCAAATATATTCAAATATGCTACAAGCCACATCAAGCTTAAATTCTTAGGTTCGTCTACTTGGGAGCAGTGAAACGAGCCTTCGGTTTGCCTGTTCTCTGGTTTAGAACGACTGTAGCGTCCTGCTCGGACAGAACACGATCAAGAATCATACCATACGACCCGCCCCTGCAGTTTCATGGCATTGAGATTAGTCCAGATTGTCATGGATCGTCGGACATGGCTGAGCCAACAACATCAAACAACGTCAATTTTCGACATGTCGTGGCTCACTAGACAAAATCGAATGAGCTACTTGAAGGCAAGAGATCTACATCTATTCAGCCTCAGAAGATCTCAGAAGGATCAACAACCAGAGTCCGCAGCCTGAACAGTCCCGTACGTCTCAAAGTGCTTTCGGAGCTCCTTGTCGTCGACCCTCGTCGGACCCAAGAATTTCTGGAAATCAGACATATTCAAATATCATGGAGTGAACGCAAATTTGCTCAAATTGGACCACTACCAGTTTTGCTGACACGGAAACAGCATGGCAATGCCCAAAGCAAAGGTATTGCAGAAACAGTCTTTTCCTTTACACCCTCATGCGTATGCGTCTGCAAGGCCAAGCATGGAAACACATGGCAAAACTATGCAAAACTATATAAGGTCCATGAGAGAACTTGTTCTTCATCACAAAGACTGTTTCACAAGCTGAGTCTGCAACGATGAAGGAAGGCCTCCGACAAAAATTCCTCGGCCTTCTTCCTGCGAGACCAGCAGAGATAATCTTGAAAGGAGCCAAGATGAGCCAAGTCAACTATACACATACTATATCGTGCTATACAGTTCAGTCCGATGGCTTTATGCATTGGCTGCAGGGGGGGAAAAAAATTCACTGCTTCGTTGCCGTTCCAACCTTGGAGACAGGAGTACCTGGTAAAATGATGCAAAGCAAATCAAAACATCGCCCAAGCTGGCATTATCTGGCATTGGATGATCCCGATGAGGACTTATGGACTTATGGGCGCACTCTCACAAGTGGCCAAGGCCAACGCCTTCGCCTTGGACACAGACTACCACAGAAAGCTGCATGATCTTTAAAGATGACACATTAGCCACATTAGCCAATGAAGTTAAGGTGCACTGAAGACTCATAGAAAACTTTCAAACACCTTCTAGTTAAGTGCCTTCTTTACAAACGAGGAACATCACATATGCACCGTCATAATAATAGCCCATGCCGAACTTCATCGGATCAGTTGAGAGGGAATGAAATTCTATAGAATATGAATATCCATACAATTTAATATACAGCTTACATCCTCTGCAGGAATCGAACCTGAAGTTTGAACGCCGAATTCTGGGCTTGGCACTTTGTCGATTGCCTGTTGAGAAGTTAAGCTAAATCCACAAGTAGGCAGAGCTACGACAAATGGATGAAAGGAATTGAAACGATCTCTGACAAAATGATGGGAGAAGCGTGGTAAGATGTGGCAAGATTTTTATACTCGAAGCAGTGCCTTGGATTGAACCTCTCTGTGACCATTGACGGGAGAGGCGGCTGCACCCTGTTCAGGGTTTTGCAGGAGATCAAACACTGGCATGCGAGGCTAGTGTTTGGCACACACACACACACGCGCACATCTGGCCACATCTTGCCACATCTTGCCTTGCTTTTCGGCTTGGAATCTTCCGCATCAGGTACAGCATTGGACTGCGGCTGCCATCCTCGCGGAATTGGGCACCAAGAGTCTGGCGTCTGGTCATTGCGCTATAGCCTCAGTATGTCTCAGTATATCTCAGTCCTATTATGTCCTATTCATCTTCTATCTCTTTCTATCTCTTTCTATCCATGTTCTAGAAAGAACATCATGTTCTATCTTGTATTTCTGCCAGTTCCATCGCACATGCCCGCCTAGAGCCATGACCTCAGCTTGAAACTGAGTGCAGTGCATGTGCACAGTGCACAGATCACTCCACGTTTTGTCCGAAATGTCTTGGGATGTCTTAGGTCATCTATAGTCTATAGTCTATAGATGTCTTACTGTAGGTCATCTTGGGTCACTGCAGGTGCAACTTTGGGCCTTGCGCAGCATGTGCATTGAGTGTGCAATGCGTATGCAATGCGTGTGGATTTGGCATTTTTTGCATCTGGACCCACCTCAACTTACAAGTGACAGGATAACAAGTTGTACCCTGGTTTCAGAATCAATAACCCTAAGACTGGCGTCACACTAGCAGAGTATGAGGACAGATATTTTTCTTGGGGAGAGGCACGGCGACAAAAATGCGAACATTCCTTGCATTGGATTCTGAAGATCAATGAATCAATGCCACATAATGCCACTATCTGACAGAAACATCAAATCCTCGGCCCTTGGAAGCAGCCTCCCATTTCTTATACTTCTTGTTGAATGATCATGCCGAATCATACCTCTATAATACCGCTACATCTAGCTAATTAAGTTTGATGAACATATGATATGAACATACAAGTAACTAGCTAGCGTAGTTTGGCAGTACCAGTAGGAGTTCCGATTGGCTAGATGGGAGTGTCTATCGAGTCTACCTCTCGCCCCAGTGGAACATTGCCAAGCGTCACAGCAAGCTACGCGATGCACCAAAAACATTAAACGATGTTTGAGTACACGTTGAAACTCAACAATCTGCGCACCAACAACTTTTACTTCGAGCCTTTTTGGCTCCGCACGCGACCTTTATGTTTTACGCAACTTTCCTGAAATGCTCTCGTCTATAGTGACGCCTTGAACAGAAATCAATGATAATCAATGTAACATAAGAAAAACAACATAATGCAACATACATAAAGTCAACTTCAGATGCAACAGCTCAAACCCAAAGCAGGGTGCGTACACGGTATATTCATGTATATGACCAGCACATTTTATAGAATTGTATCATGTTTCCAGGCCAGCCTCTTCCCAGGACCTTCAAGGCTTGCCTGTGCCTGATCCAACGCAGAGAACTACATGCAACTACTGCAACTGCTCTACAAACTTCACACGACAAATGTGCGGTTTCTTTGATGAATCTCCTACGATTGAGTGGGGTGGAACATGGTGGAACATGGTGGAACCACGTAGAGCCCATGATCCCAAGGCATGCCAAGGCATGAAACTGCATCAGTTGCATCAGTTGCATCCATGTTGGCCTGCCGCTTGGCAGAGAGACTACCATTGGCCTGAGTCATTCTTGCCATCACGAGCTGCCTGCCCTGTCCATACCCTGCATTGCTTCATTCATATCTGTTCAATATTGTTCAATTCTATGCATTTATCTTTTTCAAAGTGGGACATGATAAAAGTTTCAGCTGGTGCACACTTAAAGTCTACAAAGAATAAACAAGTGCGCATAAGTAGACAAATAAACTTTCAGGCAAACTGGGAAGACGTTGGCCAAACAGAACATTTTCTTGTATACAGTATCTGGCTCATCTGTTTGCATCAATCCCATCTAAACCAAGCGTGCAACATGGATGCCCATCAATACATCAATACATGTTAGCTCCCGGACCATGCTAGGCTCGGCAGGCTCGACATCGATCACCTGTCATGAGGCTCAGCAGACTGAGACCATGTTAAAATCCAGCGCGATCCAGGATCTAGTGCAATTCTATTGCAGTGTTCATTCTTCTCATTCTGTCTTTGATCACCATGAGCTTGCCTCATCATCTCGCAAAACTTCCCTCACCTGTCCAACTTCAAGCACTTGCTACGCTTCTCATCATGACCTTTTGTGGCACAAGATGGCAAGAGCATCCAAATATCACACTCTCCAAGCACACCATTCTCACCTCCTCATCATGTGGTACCAGGAAGCCATCCAGCCTCAACTTCACAAAATGGCAGAGACTGCACAGGACAGGACAACCCCCTGCAAGATTCGATAGAAGATGGAAGGACAGCTGGAAACAGCTTGACACAGCTGGAAACAGCTTGATAGCTGGATATCTAGTGCCGCTCGTCGCCAAAGATAGCCAGAGGCGCACACAAAATTTGTGGAGGCTCCGCATTGCCACCGTGGAGGTTCAATTCTGACAAAAAAAGCGCACTTTAGAAAGGAGACCAACCAGAGACAACGAGATCCCAGTCAGAATGTGAGCTGAACTTCTACTACAGTCCACTCCATGTCGTGTCAATTCCAGTCCAGCAAAGTGTGAGAGTATTGATGCTGGCAGTCGCCGCTTAGTGCTTGAAATTTGTGGGTAATAAAAAACATACAAAATCATCCAAGGATTCAAACGGATTCAAAATGCCTGTGCACATATCTTTACTAAGATACACTACGATTATGCAATGGATATGTCATGTCAGTAAGAGACGTCAAGACTACGTGGCAGAAACAGGAATTCGGGACCTCAGGAGGAACGACACAGGGGAGACAGAGAGACACACAGACCGACGACCACAATGCTACTATGGTACAATGCATCACAAATGCATTGCAAACGTTCACAGTTTGACTCACAATGCCCCAGGCAGATGGTCCCCAGGCAGATGGCTGCGGCCTAAAAGTCTGGCCACGTGTCCAGCAAAGTCCTTGATGGTAAGAACACTGTCAGGAACATGGACCATACACCTCGCAGCAGCAAGTGGCGGTGTATTTTATGAATTGGTTTGCTCAAAACAGGCACCAGCAGGACTTCCAGAAGATTTGATGGGAGCGCTTGCACCAAATAGTGGCGATGTCTTTTCCAAAGAAAACGCGTTGAAAAATTGCTTGGCCCAGGTGGCTGTGTCCACCCAAACTCAACAGGATCAACGTACCCTTGGCATGAAATCACTCAGCTGATCTTGCAACATCTTGCAATAAGATGCAATAAGTAACCTATATACTTACATTTACAATCATTTACATGCTTGCGAAAGATCTGAAAGCATCTAACATCTCATTAAAATACCAAATGTTGCGTCCAAGAAGCCACTGCAGGTCTCCAAGCCTAGCTACATGGCCATCTCACCAGTTGTCATCGTCATCAAGTCGCATCAAGGCGCTTTTTTTCAAGGAGCCTAGAGATATCATGAGATATCTAGAGATGCCGAGAGATGCCTGGAGTCGAATAGTATCGAATAGTAAACATATAGTAAACATTCAAGTCGTATCAATTCGTTAAAAACTCCTTGTCTCACTCCGCCCCGAGCATCCTGAGGTCTACACTTGTAGACAGCGCCGCATCGCAATCGCAGGCGCATTGTTGCTGCCAATCTCGGAAATCTGCCAGCTGTTCTATGATTGTCTGATTTTATTCTGTCTGATGTATCCGAATTTGGCCTGAGGGTTCATTGTATCATATCATATCGTTCAAATCATATTATCTGCATGGATCTGGTACAACTAGCCCAGGTTTGGGTTGTGGTTGAAATGAAACACTTCATAGGTCCTTCGAAACAAAATAAGACCAGTACAGACTTTGGGCCCCTGTTGGTTGCTCTCGTCTTCTCTGCGGCAAGAGCATGTAGGCGCATCGACAAATATTTATCTGTCCGGGACGTCGTATCTACAAGTAGATGCAGCTATGACGAAAATACATGAAAATACACAGTATATGTCTGTCTATACTTAATAGGTTGGAAAACACTTTATATATTCAAGTGTATTCCAAGGTAGATCGCCATGAGTCACCATGGCATACCGGTACTGTCTTTTGCCTTCTTCGCTTTAAGCTCAGAGGAATGGCATGGCAAGCGTGGCTCCATGTCTGGCTGGGCACTATGGCAAAATGGACGAAAAAATGATAGAAAGTGCTTGAAGGTCCTTGCGAATAACATATGACACCAATGCATCATGCACAACTCTAGATTTTTGCAGCAGCGCCGCAGCACCGAGTAAGTAGATAAGTAGCCTCAGAATCACTGGCCTCCGGATTTTGCGGGAACATGAAGTGCAACTCCAGCGGCAAAATCACATAAAATCTGCGCAGCTTCATGGTCATGCTCTCAGCAGGTGTGGGCTTGCAATCTTCTACGCAAGCAGTAGAGCTCTTTCCTTCGCAGTGTACCTGGACAAAACTTTTCCACAAGACTCTTCCAGGAAGCTTCTGCTAGACCAAGAAGTCATTGAGCAACGCTTTCGTCTTCCATGTGCTGCGTGATGAACAGCATGAACAGTGCTTCATCCTGAGAGATCTGATCTTACAGGCCCTGTTCGAGTTATGTGTCTTCTTTGCGGCTCAGCAGCCAGCAACTGCATTCATCCCAGTTTTCAGTGTATGTAATGGCCAAACCAGAAAGTTCAACCAAAACCGCCAGGTGTTTCTCGGGGCGTGTGATGTCGAAGCGACCTTCCTTGCCCGGAGTGTCCATTTGAAAGCATTCGCTTTGACTGTACACTGGCCGGTTTTCCTTGAGCACCAAGACCCCCTGGCTTGAAAGACACTGCGACAATCGCTTGAGCAACTCTACCACATCTTGGTCTATCAAGTATTGCAAAGTCCATTGAATCCAAATAAGATCAAATGTTTCGGCAGGACGATAGTCTTCAAGTTTGCTCTGGATGAAAGTACATCGAGATGCATCTTCAGCTAAGTAGGTCTTTGCTGCTCTAAGCCATTTCGCTGATTGATCTACGAGGAAAACAGGTCCACTGACAGCAGGCAGCAGCACGCCCCTCGTCACTCGACCAACTCCAGCACCAACATCTAACGCGGAATGTGGCTTCTGTGGCATACTTTCAATAGCTCTGGCCAGCAAAGTGCAAGAATGCACGAGATCTTCCTCGCTCGCATCATCTCCAATCATTGCTCCTTCTAGAGTTTCTCGGCCTTCATACCCTTCCACCCACCAATCTTCATTCACGCGATAAAATTTATCGCGTTGCTGCCCTTGGACAAGCCACAGTTCCCACAAGTTTGGATACTCTCGCCCAGCATCATCGGCTCCAGAGATGTCTGCTCCAAGTGCACGAATTCGCTGTGCTTGAGACTCCTTTGGAGTCACCAAGGGGCATTTGACTCTCTGACTACGGTGCGGCTTTTTGCCCATGGCCCACGGATGACTAAGGTATCCTTTGGCTGTCAAGTGGTTGCGCAAGTTGTGTGAAAGGTGAAATGTGCAGCATGCCGAAACATACCGAAACGAGATTGCCTGGAAAGGATGGTACAAGTATGTACAAGTACACTCATCCCCTCGCCACACATCTATCAATGTCTCGTGGCTGAACCTGCAGGCTCAAGTCACAATTTCATGAACTTCACCGCCCCATATACGACTTCAAAATTCCTATGATCGAAGTTTTCTGCCAGCGTCATGGTTCTTTTTGCACTGGCTTTTAACCCGCGGCTTAATGACAATAGAAAGCACAGGTCTGAAGCAGTGAAACACTTTGGGTCACCGTGTTGTGACCGAGTTTTCCGCACTCAATTTTCATCAAATCGATTCACCGCTTTTCGCAACTGCTCACCCCTTGCCAGGAGCCTCGGAGCAGGCCAGGCTGCAATCACACTAAACGTTGTGCTGAATGCGGTCTGAAAATATCTGAAAGTTGTGCTTCACTTTTGAGAAATAAAATGTTGAGAGTGGGTTTGTGGAAAGCATATTGCAACTGAAGGCAAAGCCTTTGTGGTGCGCTTCTTTTTAGTTCTTGATGCCAGGGCAGCAGTTGCAGCTGCAGAAGCCTCGAAAATTGTACAACCACAAAGGCCAGCCGGGAAATACCACCACTCACCACCTTAACTTTGGAGCAACAAAAAGGACTCGCTGCAAACACAGCTGAGCTGTCCATGGGTCGCCTCTGCCACTCGATTTGCAGAGTCCTGCGGAGCTATGCGATATAATAGTATGCAGTGCTAGCTGCTCAGTTCATCATCTCAAGAAATAAATGACGCTCTCGCAATAACGCCGGAACTCAGCCCAGCCTCAATTGCAAAGTCAGGATCAGCAAATAGGGCCTGGTGCATTGCTGAAACTTCAGTTAACTGCATTTACTGCGCAGACTATTTCTTCATGCTAGTGGTTGCCCCCAAGACGGCAGAGTACGCTGACATAGACGGACCACTCAACCAAAATCGAGGCGACGCCGTAGATGGACGAAATATTCAAACCCCTTCTATCCGGTACAACCCCCTCGCCCCCAAAGTTCAATGTTATTGTAACCTGAAGTGCGTTAGCCCCAATGGACGAAAAAAATCAAACCCCTAACATCCCTTTTGCTAACACGCGCGCTGAAACATTGAGATTTGGGGGTGCGGGGGTTCAACGTAGTGCATGCTGCAGGGTTTGAATATTTTGTCCATCTACTGTTGTTCTCTGATGTTTCACAATCTTTGGTCTCCAAAAACTCTGTGTGGAAACAATCAATGTGAATGCTGCTGATTTCTTCCAACATGCGCAAAACACATTGGCTTTTCACAAGTAAATGCCTCCTGTCTGTCTCCCGTCCCATTTTTTCTATTCCCAAATCGCAGCTTATTCCTAAGTGCACAAGACATTGTGTTTTCACAGGTACGTGCAACCTTTGCGCTTCCCGTCCCATTTTTTCCTACTCCCTTATTCGCAACTTAGTCCAAACTGCAAAAAACATTGTGTTTTCACAGGTAAATGCTGCATGCGTCTCTCGTCCCGTTTTTTCCTATTCCCTAATTCACAACTTATTCCAACATGCGCAAAACATTGTGTTTTCACAGGTAGATGTGCATGTCTCTCTCGTCCCATTTTTTCCTATTCCCTA